ATGAGGTCCATAAAGTCTCCAGCTCAGCAGGATTGGGGTATAGAGGTGAGGTTTAGGGTTGGGTTTGAGCTCAGTGCTGCCCCCACCTGGGCGAACAGTGAGGCGTGCTCGCGGGCGTGTCCGAACGGGTCGATGTGCCAGGCGACACGGGGCCGGCCGCAGGCGCCGAAGGTGTCGTTCAAGAAGCGCAGCCCCAGGGTCATCTGGTCGATGACGGCACTGTAGTGCGTGGTGGCCTCGTCACTCATGCACCAGCCACCGTTGATGAACTCCAGGCGGCCTGCAGGGCAAGAGAGGAGGAGAGAGAGAGCGACAGAGAGAGAGCGCGACAGCGACAGCGAGAGAGAGAGAGAGAGAGAGAGAGAGAGAGAGAGAGAGAGAGACTTTAATTGGCAGAACTACAGAATATAAAAGCATAAATAAGCATGTGCATTTAAACTTTTAACTTCAGCTGCACAAGTTAATATTCAGAAAATCTGCTTGTCTATGCTCATTTATGGTTACACCTACCTGACCTACAACGCAGTCACATGTATTCTGCATAAAACACCAGTGTAATTTCATATGGCCAAGTCACCTCTCCTCCCCACCCAACCACCCTCACCCTCATTGACAAGCTGAGTGACCACCCTCTGGGTGGCGCTGTTCTGCTGCTTCCACCATCGGTAGAAGAAGCCCGTCTCCACGTAGATGAAGCGCCGGGCGGGGTCCAGTTGCAGCTGCTCCACCACTGAATCCAGGATGTACTGCACGCCGGCGTGCTGGATGTTATTACGGTCTGCGAGACACAGTCAGGACACACCTTAGCCTTCCCTGGTGAGGAGGGGGATCTGGCAGAGGGAATCTATCTTCCTTTCAGCCTCTTTGGACTGAAAGTGCATCTACGCAACACACCAAGTCCAACCACTGTGAGAACGCACTCTCCTATATGCAGTTGCAAAAAAGGTGCCCGGTTCATTTCTATGAGAAAGAAATTCAGTTTGCTGTGGGAAGCAGTTCTGCACGTCAGAGTAGGGGCCTAAACAGGAATTCACAGAGGGGGGGAGGTTAGAGAGGCTGCCAAAGTGCTCGAGATACTGCTATCGCCATTTCAGCGTCACCTCGGGTGTTAGTGTGAACTAGGCCTACTAAACACACTCCGCTCATCTTAGCAAGCGAGTAAAAAAGCGAGAAAAGCCAGATCTGACCTCCGTAGTAGTACTGGTCCACGGTCTTGAGCCAGCCGACATCGTCGTGTGTGTGGGGCACCAGGTGAACGTTTAGCATGGAAGGCTGCGTCGCCGGGCATGACTACAGGAAGCAACGGACATCAGCAACAGGCGAGCGAGGGGGCTTCCTCGTTCCCCTCATCTCCTCAGCACCACATAACCATTTATTTATTTCGTGTTACTGTGTGCAAAGTTCAAGAGAGACAGCTCTTAGGCTCAAAAGACCACAACTGCCGAGCATCTGTTTTTCGTTTAATGGTTTGCTCGTCAAGGACGCTATTGGATGCGTCTCTCAACCACATGAACAGAACATAATTGTTCAACTTCTTGGGTGTCTGTTTAATCTGATTTAACAGTCCAGACCTGCTGCACAGTGATATAAAGGGGAAATTCTCTTAAAATCTTAGTTCCGTAACTGTCACACTAAAAACTAATTCAGAGTAAGATATATAGCATGTTTGGATTATTATTATTATTATTATTATTATTATTATTAACAACAACAACAACAACAATTATTAACAATAATAAGACTGACATTTTATTGATCCCTGTGGGGAAATTCTTTTCGCCTACCCCATCTTCCTCTCCATGACATCCACACACACACGCACGCACGCACACACACACACACACACACACACACACACACACACATGAGAGTAAGCTTGGCAGTGAGATGTCTAAGAGTTTCAGTGGTTTAGGAAAACAGAGAAAACTTTAAAAGGTACAAAAAAGGTGAGGTGATTGAAATGAGAGATGAGTGAAATGATCACCTGAGCGTCACCTGCACAAACTGTGTAGTCATATGATAGGGGGGGGTTGTTAACCACTGATGTCGAACAAAGTCCCGCCTGCACTGTAGGATCCTCAAATGCTCCTTCATAACCCCTATCACCACCATCTCTCATCCGTTTAACTACGTGGCTCTCGTGGACGTTATTTCCGACTCCAAATTAAAATTTTATCCAAAATAATTAAACAGCAACTACGTGGCATATAACGGTATCAGACAGCAAAGTCCTAGTTGGACTTCACAGAATATACCTCAAAGAAATTATATACATCTTCTGCAAATCGATTAAAACGCTGCAACGCACCATGTATCTAATAACACATTTATAGGACGGACTTTTATAAAAGGATCCGGCTTAACGTGTTATATTATGTCATTTCAATTTTTTTTTCTGTCATCAAATCGTGCAGAATTCTGTATAACAGCATAATGACAACTGCATCTCGACGACAAACTGACCAACAAGATGACCATCTGATTATTTGGAAGCCTTTTTGTAGGCTGGGTACTTTACACTCCGCTTTCGCTTTAGTCTTATACCCAATGTTACCCCTCCACACGACCCGCACTCAATCCCCCGGAAGACAGGAAAAGGTTTGCTCACCTTGTATCCACAGCTCGCGCTGTCGTCGGAGAAATACCCGGCGGGGAACCCTAAAACCGGGGCACAGAACAGCAAAAACACCGCCACAGCTCCCATCGCTGACACCGCCGCTGCCGACATCGGCTGGTCATATGATCGCGCCTTGCTGCGCGCTCACGTGACAGATACATGCCGAGGCGCGTCATAACAGTCACGTTGCTGTGACGTCACTTCAGAATTAAACTTCCCATTAAAACGAAACGACGCTTACCTTTAATACTCAATGTTACCCACATACTACAAAGATCTTGAAAAAATACTGTGTTGTGGGATCGAAAAGTGTCAAAAAGCTAATTTTACAATGTAAAATGACACGTAAATTTTTAAAACTTTTTTTTCAGTTAACATACAATTTTTAGTTTGGTTGGGTAATTGAGAGTAATTGAGAGTGTTAGTTTTCCCCCAACCGAGTTGTCATTAGAGTAACGTATATTACAGATATGAGGTCACAATAAGTGTTTCACTGCGGTTTAAAACACAAGAATTTTATTATATGTCAGTTGAAATAATGATTATGCTGTAATCAAATTGCAGGCATTAGGTAGGCCTATAATTAGCTTGGCCAGATAATCCATGTCAGGGAGGACACAGAGATTGGACAGGATTGGTAATCATCTATTTCAATTAAAAGGACCTGGACTTTGGTCAGTGTCCTATAATAATGCATGTGTCACTAATGTTAATGTGAAACAGCTGGATGAGTCTTGCAATCAAGGAAACAAACCAGTCAAAGCACAAGAAGAACTAAACTATATTTACCGAAGCACAGGAGCCTTTCAGTTTTAAAGTAGTTTGTAAAACCTGAAGTAGCTAAAAGTGTTCCCCCGTACCCATATATGGATTATCTGATCACCCTAGTATAATATGATGACAGCAGTATTTGAAGATGTGGATTCGTAACCAAACGCTGGCGGCTAAATTCAGCACGACGTAATCATCCGTTTGTGCTGCTATGTATGGGTTGACAACAATAATATCCAATATTTCGTTCTTGAATGAGGACCGAAAGTTGGCCACAGACAGGGGTGGATCTACAGGCAGGAAGAAGGGGCAACTGCTCCCCCAAACCATTCAGTTGCTAAAACCGTTAGCTACTCAAATCACTGAAACAAGCAGGAGATGCAGAGAAATCTGTAAATGCAATCTTACGTCCCGCTAAAACGTGCACAGCGTATCGAGCTGACATGGCGAGCCTGCCTGCGTGCATGTGCGAAGGAGAGGAGCAACTATAAGCTTCGTTTAAAGTTTAACCCAACACACAAATTTAAGTCAGTTAAATTAGTAATGAATGTAATGTATATTCAATTAGCAATCTATGGCTTGTATGCTACTGGCACTCAACAATTAGAATCCGTTACTGTAATGTTAGCCAAAAGTAGGCTAGAGTCGCTCGCCAAACGGAATTCAAATACGTGATTTCTAGGGGCATTTTAGATTTAGTGAGCTAGCTCTCATTTTAGTAAAGCCAAAAAGCTGCAAAATACCGGTATGTTTGAATCCATAATGTTTACGCAGTGGGTTGCCAGTGGGGACTGTAGGATGTGAGTGCAGCTTTTGAGCTTGGAAACTTGTAAAAATTCACCGGCGCCATACAACTACGGCAGATGACCGTCTGAGGGGATTGAGAACCAGCCTGCAAACCAGCCTGCAAAAGCATTTAATTTGGGTATGTTTGTGAAACATGCTCAGCACAACAACAATCGCCTTAAACTGTCTTTAAAATTGTGGTCAGACATGACGGGGAAGAGATGGGCAGTGCAGAGCCAATGAAGAGCTGGATAGTTTTTTGCACGAACATTGACCTGTTGTTCCTATTGTAGATTATTAACATAAACCTGGGGAAGTGTGTACTACAGTTTACTTAAGCATGCTCCCAAACTCGAAAATTCTTAATGAATTGCATTACTAACTAGAGGACTGATTGGCTGAAGAATCCTCTCCCCTGGGTTTGAAATGCTGATTAAAGGTTATCCCCGAAACCTGTAGACACACTGGCCCTTTGCAGATAAGATTGCCCACCCCTGCTTTATACTCTAGTACTAAGCCACAAAATAGGCCAAATAGATATTTAATCAGAAGCACTATTTTGTGTACTGTTCTGGGGGGGTGCAAGATGTTACAACTTTCAAACTTTAAATTTAACATGTCATAGTAAAGTCCCTAACTTTTATTCATTTATTAATTTGTTTTTTGATTGTTTATTTATTTGAAAAGAGCTCTGCCAAATCTAAGGTTGTTCGATACCTGAATATGGCATGTATTCCTTTACCGGTTGTACATCTGATGAGGAAGCTGTTTCTGTAATTGAGCAATGCAATGTTATTCTATACTGATGAAGGAGATTTGCTCCAGATATGATCTGAAATTTTATTTTGGGTGGTTAAGGCGGCAGTGTTGGAGTGGGTGGTGTAATCTGCGATAGTCCATTTATATCCAGGAATCAGCATTTCCTTTTATCTTCTGTGGGACTGTAACTCATTAAAGTCACAGTGTCTCCGTGTCCTTGTCATCCGTGCAGCTCATCGACATCCCAGATGAAGGTTAATGGCACATCTTTCATCTTCTCCTGGAACACTTGGTCAAACTTCTCATTCTGTGCCACTGTCAGTAAATTTTTCCAGTCCCCGATCGTACCTAGATCACAAAAACACAGGCAGTTTGGCATCAGGAGCAGTACTGCATAACACCAGCTGATTAGAGCATCGGACGAAGACGACGTACAGTATGTACCTTTAAGGTTAGTGACGACGTACAGTATGTACCTTTAAGGTTAGTGACGACGTACAGTATGTACCTTTAAGGTTAGTGATGACGTACAGTATGTACCTTTAAGGTT